GTAGAAGAAAAGAACCAACTCATGAAAGTCGTCTTCGGAATTTCATACATGTATTATGCTCATATGTCTTCTCAACACACAAAATCATATACAGTAATGGAATGGAAATTTCAAATGAGAATTGTGGGACATTTGTGAGAAATTACCCAGTGATATAAATAAAGGAAAAATGTCACAATCTCATGCATTGTGAAAAGTATTTTTTAAATTCTCATACTACTCAAAGCGATCTTCACTTTTAATGTAATCTTGATCAAAACATCTGTATTATGCTTTACTAAAATAGGAAACACATTCTTATGGAATCATACAGGATTCTTATAATCTTGAGCCAAAAAGTAAAGCTAGGAACATTAGAAGAAAGGTCTTCAAAATACACTAAACAGCTATAGCTAACTAATTAGTGCTGTATAACCATAAAAAATGTACATAAACCAATTAATCAGAATTGGGAAACTTGTTATACTACAATTTAACCACAAACGGAAGTGCTGTGTGTACCTGTGATGATAGTAATCTATTCTATGTCGACATAAAAAATATTTTAGTCAATTTTATTACATGATATTTGGAAATGTTTCCCAGAATTTTCCTATTTAAGTTCTCCCCCTTCTTTTTGACAACACCATAGATGAAAAGTTCTTCCCTATTAACTACCATCCACATCTGAGGAAATTTTTATCCATTCTTTTCAGGCAATGTAAAATTGGCACGTTGTATCATTATACACTGTTATCTCAACTCTAATGTTATTAATAATACTTTTAAATACTAATTAACCAAAATAACATTTCAACTAAAGTTACTCGCTCTTCTGGGGGGTATGAAATGGGCAAATATGAGCAAATGTAATGATTTTATTGAAAAAAATGTTAAGTAAAAGTCAATTGTTTGGCACATTAATTTAAAAATTGTTTTAAAATAATTCTCACTGTTATAGAAGGAAGAATATATGGATTGACATTTATTCTGAAATTTAAACATGTGAAAGTGCATGTGAAGAGTCACTCACAGTTATTTTTCAATCCTGCATCAAACCAGAGAGAACTTTTGGCTTTATGGGAGCTTCTTTTTCTACTATCCCAATCAAATCACGGGATAACATGTGTTCAATAGCTCGTCAATGAGTTTGTTAACATCCCACTTTTCTTGATCCTGTAGAGTTACTCTCTTAAAAACTTACTATTTGTCTTCAAATATCATTGTGTTATTGGCCAAATTGTCATAAGTTCCATGTTGCATCAATTCTTTACCTACCCAATTGTGTTTGTGTCCTGACATGCCCAATACCTTCAGCATACAGCAAAATTAGGTTCATTTTCAAAGTATACATTTATGTGTAGTGAAACAGATACTTCAGTAGTTTATGACATTGATGTTTTAGTATATTTCTCCTCCAGGAACATAAAAATTACTATATATATAATCTATATATATATATATATATATATATATATATATATATGGACTCAAAGATAGCCTAGTCTGATAGTATATGTACATCCTAGAAGACTTAGGAGCTAAAATATAATAGATTATCTTGAAGAGATTCCTTATAATAAAATATGTTCATTCCTCAAAAGTGACCTATTTCATCTCCAGTAAGGCAGCCAGCAACAGATCTTCAGCATTTTACAGTCTTAGAAGGATACATTAGCATTCAATGGCTTTTCCTTTCCAGGTTTCTATGGCAACCCCTGCACCACATACTCATTAGAAAGAAGTTCTGTTTAATTGATCTACTAATGTGTTGCTTAATAGTAACTGTTAAGCAGTCTTTTGTTTCCAGGTCATATTTAGGGTTCACATATTTGCATAAAAGCATTTCGTTAGCTGAAACCAATCATTACTAGCAATTTTCTTTCTTTAGTTTAAAATAACTAAACCCTCATTGAGATTTTCTGAATAGCAAATATTTATATCTTGGAGAATAGGCTTTCTGTATGAGCTTGGCTGGCTTTGTTTCTGTGAGCAGCAAGAAAATTACAGAGCTCGAAAATGTTAATCAGTGAAGACAAAAAGAAGGTGTCTTTTTCTCCAGTTGAAATGCAAATTTACAGTGACGCTAACTATAGGCCATATCCAATATTTGATGACAAAGTTGTAATGGATAAATATAATTTAGAATGCATAGTAGTTATCCACTGCATAACTTTCACTAATTAGAATTTTCATATGCTCCAGTCAGCGCAGAGGAGACACTTTAGGCTGAGCGGTTTCCTTGTGTACCTAGTTTATCTGGAGGATCATTCTTAAGGAGCACTTATCAAAGGCTTCAAATTAGCCGAGCCGTAAACGCCACCACGAGCGAAATTCCTTAAGTTCATTGAGAAAACGTGGCAGGGTGGTCTTATCGAATAGTTACTGAGCTACATAGCCAAATACATTCTGTTGAAGAGAGGTCTTCGACACTTTAAGTGTCTCAAGCTGTCCCTTCATCAGTAATGCTTGCTTCCATGATAGTGATAAAGACAACCTGCACCTTTAAGGAATTTTAAACTGCTGAGTCTGCTCAATTTTTATCACTCACACACATGTGAGAGGCCAATAGATTTGAAATAGTAAACTACATTAAGAAGATAAGAAACAATTTTGGGCGTATTGGGTGTTGTACATATAGTGTGTGTGTTTGTGTGTGTGTGATTCAGTGCATTTGCATGTGAATAGTGAGCATCTTCTTTTATTACTCTCTAGATTAATTTCCTTGAGTTTGTCTCTCAACCCAAAGCTCATAGTTTCCACTAGGCTGGCTGGAATCTGACATCTCATGATCTGCCTATCTCTTCAGCCCAGTGATAATGTCACAGGCATGCACAGCTATACATGGCTTTACAAATATTTAAATATGTTTCTAGTTGAAATAAAACTATATCATTGTCCATCCTCCATTCCCTTCCCAACTGCTCTCATCTCAAATCTCTCCCATGGCCCCCTGCTTTTAAGTTGATAGCCTTTTTTTTTTTTCTTTTTAGATATATAGAAATCGATATAGATAGGCCTGTGTTTAAACAAATACATACACATACACAACTCACTGAGACTGATTTCGATTTTGTATATATACTGTTTCATAGTTTGCCACCATACATTTGGTAACCAATAAGGGGAGGGCCATCCTTAGTCCCGAAAGAGGTTAATTCTCCCTCTCCCAGGAGTCATTGATAGCCTTTAGTTCCATGTCTAGGAATAGGATCCTGTGGAATGTTCTGCTTTCCACATGAACATGTCTGTTGATATTGCTGTTGATACAGTCTTGCTTATGCAGCTTTTTCTAGGAGAAACTGTTATAGAGCAGACTTTCAAGTATTGTGGCTCTTTCAATCTTTCCAATGCTTCTCAGATTTTCTCCGAGCCACAGCCAGAACTACGGTATAGCTGTATCCTTTTGGGCTGGATTCCAAACTGTTGATCTCAGTTTTAGCTTTCTGAGGTGATTTCCATTTGCTGTAAAGAAAGAGTCTTTGAACAGGGGTGGAAGCTACAGTTATCTGTGAATATAAGGATAAAATTTACAACTTAGTAAGAAATTATTCTCATCTAGCCGATTGGTACTAGTAGGTTTTTTATCAAAGGTCACAAACTTCACTTGCCCTAGGAAGTTGCCTAGGTTTCCAGTATTAGGTATGATTTGTTCCTATTCAGTAGACCTTGCATATGAGTGCCACTTAACACCTCTGTATACATTTCTATACATGACGGTAATTGTTATTATTTATAAATATCCAAGCTGGGTAGGAAGGTGTATTTGTTTTCCTCTCTTAGCAGCTTGCAAAGCATTTTCTGGAACCATAAAAGCTAGATGGATGGAAAGAGGCTTTCAGTTCATATCCAGTTTGAATTATCTACGTCTGGTGTCCTAAATGAGCTGTGTCTTTAGCAATAAGGGCCCTCAACCTTTGAGAGGTATCCCAGGGCTATCCACAGAACAAACATGCACATATCAAGCACCATACACACACACACACACACACACACACACACACACACACACTTTCAAATTGTTTTTCAGAATAACCCCTGTGATACCCAAAATAAAATAAACGCCATGTCCAGCTTTTTCTGTGTTTGCTGGGGATACTAATTCAAAGCCTTAAACATAAAAAAAAACTCTTTTACACAATAAACCACCTCCCATCCCCAAAATAATTTTATATTAATCAAATAAACATTAATTTCCATTGCTTTAAAGATTCATTAAGGAATTGTGTGTGTGTGTTGCCTTCATGGTCAAGACTTGTGCTCAGTCAGCAATAAGACATGATGTTATCCTACATGACCATGAGAATTAATTTGGAACTGTGTTCTATACTGATCTCCTTAACTCCAGACTCTGCTTTTCTTTCATTGTATCATCTCTAGAAGAATGTTTCTGTAGCCTGCGCAGGAGAAGAGAACCTGTCTTTCTGGTGTGTATCTATTGCTATTAGTGTTTGGGGCAGTTCTTCCAGAGATCGTACCAGCTACAACTCATTTTCCTGCGATCACTTGATGAGAATTGACCCACTAGAAGTTCATGAGTTCTTAGTTAAAGTATTAATAATTGGTTATCTAGTAAAGGAAGTCCCTTGAAATGGGCACTGGAGTTCAATACTCCTAAGATCAATTGCTTATTTTATAGTTTCAGCAAAATAGAAATTGTCCAATTTCTTTATAAAACAACAAAAAATCAAAACCATTCATTATATAAGCATCGCAAATCACATTTGTCACCTTGTATTTCCTGTCATAATCCTTATTATTAGACAAAACATACTGATGAACATTCAATAATACATAGAGAAAAAATTCAATATCTCACTTCTCCCTTAGTAAAAATAGACAAAAATATAAACTCTAATTTATATTTATCTCTAATAAAATATCAATCCAGAAAAATTAAATGAAATACATACACATACATGCATACACATATACATACACAAACATACACACTATATATGTATATGTATGTATATATATATCACTTAATGCAAATAGCAAAAACAAAAAGAAATAACATTGTTTAGGTTAGTCCAAAATGAGGGTGCTTGAGTAAAACAGGTTGCTCAAAAGTAAAGCGATTGTTCACTTTGTCTCCTTGGAAGGTTGGATATGATCATCAAAGTGCAATAAATCTTCCATTAGCTGAAGAAATGAAAAGAGAAATTATGCACTATTTACTAGTCATCATTGATACTGTACTCACTGGGCCCCTGAGAAAGCAGGTAAGGTGAGTCTTTTGGTATTAATAGCTGAACTTAGCCACCTATGGTTTCAATGATACATGATGAGGCTAAAGTAAATCCTAAGTAATAGAAAGCCAGCTTGATGGTTTTGAAATCTTTTTAATTGTTATTAAATGTTCAAATATGAGAGACACACATCCTAGTCTGTGATGGGGAAGCTCAGCCAATCACATTAGGCTAGGTTGTGGCTGCCTGGGGCGAAGGAAGAAGCACCTGGGGATCCAGGTGCACGCCCCTTGTTTTGTCTCTTTCTCTGCTGTGAGTGATTCTCGCTGGATCCCGGTCTTGTGAGCCTCTCTTTAGTTCAATCATTAAAATTATATTCCTTGTTTTTGAGCTGGTCTGGTTAATTCTAACTACAGGTCGACCACGCCCAACAAGTCTTGGCCTGCAGTAGTGGAGGGGAGCCTACCTAGTCCCTGTAATATTGAGCAAGACAAAAATCCACAAGGCACTGGGCAGATGGGCTCTATGATGCTGAGCAAATTTATGGCAGATGGGGTCTGAAAAGAGAGACATAATGATTCATATCCTGTGGGAAGAACTGGCAGGCTAACCAACTCAGCAACGACCCAGACCCAGAACCAGGGCTAAGAGTTGGCCCAACCCAGTACCCACCCCATCTATGATCTGCTAGAGAATGTGAAGGGGTTGGTCCTGCAGACCAGAAGTTGGAGGATCTCCATGACATAGGGCAACAACAAGATAACCAATAAGAATCCTAGCAAAACCAGTAGTGATGGTTTAGCAAACCAGAGGCTTTGAACAAAAACAATGACTCTTTGCAATGAACACTTGCAAGTAATGATATATGGACTAAATGATGTAGACAGAAGTTTCTGTTCTGCCTAGTTCCACAAACGTTCAGTTCCAAAGAAACACGCAGGTGTTTATATTAATTATAAACTGTTTGATCTATTAGCCCAGAATTATTATTAACTATCTCTTACAACTTAAGTTAATCCATAATTCTTGTGTTTGTTTAGCCATGTGACTTGGTACCTTTTGTCAGTGCAGAATTTTTATCTTGCTTTCTCTGTGTCTGGGTGGCAGCTGCAGACTGAGCCTTTCCTCTTCCTAGAAGTCTTCTAGTCAGGTCGCCTTGCCTGTATTTTTTGCCTGCCTACGGGCCAAACAACATTTTATTAAACCAAACTGAGTGACAAATTTTTACAGGGTACAAGAGCATTATCCCATAGCAAAAGGGCATACCAGTGACTCCTTGTGTCACACTACAGCTTCGAGGAGGAGATTTTTTTTATTATTATTTTCTTTTAAATTTTGTTTTGTTTTATCCCAAATAGGAGGCTGCAAGGATAGAGGGGAGGTGGGAAGGGACTGGATAGAGTGGGATAGAGATGTGAAATCCACAAAGAACCAATAAAAAAAGTAAAACTGGAAAAAAAAAACATAAAAGTCAGCAAACTCTTTTTACAATATATTTCTGTATAATTGAAGGGGCATATCTGTTTTGGTGTTGTCTTTGGACTTGCTGCATGTTGTCAGAATTTTTCTAGGATATATATTTGTAGTCCTAGGTACTCTAGGACTTTTATTGGGAAGTGATTTTGGATTTTTTCAAAGGGAATTTCTATATCCAATGAGATGACCATATGCTTTATGTCATTGTGTCCTATATGTGTTGTGTTACATTTATTGAATTATGTATGTTGAACCTCCTTGCATCTCTGGGTTGATATCTTCTTGATCTTTTATCTTGGGTCATTAAAGTATGCTCATTTGGATCATCCATTATCCAGCATTAAGATCTATAATGTAACAGGTGTCTTGGGAGTCCTTTTTTGTCATGTGATGTGGTATACTCGTTCACATATATGGAATACAAAGGAGTGGACATTGTTGGTATAATAATTCTTCATATTAAAACACCCATGTGCTTTTTGGAGTCAGTCAGTCATAGCATATTTGGTATTCACGGGACGGGGCTAGATCATACATTCAAATTTGAAGGGTAAGTCAGCTTATACATTGTGTAGGAGATCATACACTCAAAAGACTACCTAAAGTAAGAGGTCCATAGAGAATAAGAGAGATCTAAGCACTGCATACAAAATCACTTTTATATGACATGTAAACATTCTGAAGAAGCCATCAGAAGAGAAGAAGAAACTATGAATGTCTAGGGCTGAACAGAAGATACATGGCTAGAAACAAGTTCGAGGATGTGTAGACATTGATGCTGAAGAAGAAAACACGTACTTCAAAGGATATGAAATGGTTTAAAATTTTAGTAGAAGAGAGAATAAGGATTCATAGTTGGAGCACTTAGTGATAACTCACAGGTTTATAAAGAAAATATCCATAGCAATCTGAAACTGCCCAAATATAAAATAAGTATCAAAAATACAGTGTCAGCCTATGTTGGTATATAATATCAACTTCACAGAACCTAGAGTCACTTAGAGAAGGGCCACTGATCATGCCTGTGAGGGATCATCTAGATTTGGCTGGCTTTTGGGTATGCTTATGAGGGATTTTCTTGTTGAGATCAATTGAGGTGGGAGAAGCACACTAAATGTGGGCCTCGATACTTCATGGATTTGATAGTGGATAAATAAAAGGGAAATAATGTATTGAGTAGCAACATCTATCCCTTTGTGATTCCTGACTGCAGCTGTTGTGTGGCCAGCTCTTTCACGCTGCTACTGCTTCGATATTCACAATATTTTTCTCATTAAATCTATCATCTAGAAATAACTGAATTTTAGTTACTCTTCCTACAGCTTTGAAAAAATGCATAATGAAGCAATTGAAAGAAGAGTTTTATGGGTTACATGCCCAAAATATTAAGGAAAATAATAAAACACCTATGCATGCACACACCAGCACATTAGTAACTCAGCTACACTAATTATGTTTCACTTCACTTTTCGAAGACTATAGTCATTTTCCAAGGTACACAGTTAAAATTCAATATTTTAAGATGAAAATAAAACAATAACCAGGATCCATTCCTATACCATGTGAGTTAGGATCATCTAGTCTTGTTTGTCAGGATCTTGTCTTTTCCCACAAATGATGATTGCCTCATATTCATCATCTGTTTGCCAATAAATATTTAACTGTTATTTCAAGTGTAATGAGAGAAAATTTGGATTTAAAAGTGTTTTTTTCTTTGAATGAATTGGGTGTTTCTATCTCAGCTATTCATGGTGACATATACATGTGTAAAGCAAAGGGGTTTTGTATGTTTGCTTACTATTATCTTTTGAAAAGAAACAACCAGAGAAAACTGTGTGATAACAAATATCAGTTTTCCCCTTATTTTATTAATGAAAAATTAACTCATGCATTAGCGTGTTGGCAGGGATATAGAAGAAGATTCATAATTCTGAGAGTTAAAATTGAACTCAGTAACTGAGTCTCATGTCCCTTTTTCTATTCAGGGCATATGCTTTTGCTTACTGACCAGCAAATATAGAAGTGACTTCTGTGGTAATGGTTAGAATTCTACATATACTATTTAAAATGTAAATTTTAAAAATAATTAAGAATTTAAAAGTACATTATAATTGGCATGGGGTAAGATCCAAGACAAACACATGACAATGAATCCATAGCCGGATGGTAAAGGATGGTTGAAGACCCTGTGTGAGCTTCATGATATATTGCGGTGTGGTTTAAAATTTGTACCTTATTGAAACTGTTTATATCATTTTATATGCACATAATTATGCTATTGATGCTGATATCATGTACATCTATTCCTGGGTTACAATATCTCATTTTCATGATAGTACTTAAAAATTAAATTCCCCTTTAAAGATTCCCAGAATGTTATGTCTTAAATTATATGCCCAATGAGCTTTTCTGAATATTCAATCTCAGTTATTGAATTCATATATTTTCATTACTCAGGGAATGCTTGCATTTGTTTTGTATGACATATGGTTCACTAGCAAGCTGTTATTCAAACTCTTTCACTTGCATTATGACAACGAATGAAGTATTCAAACCCACTAGCACTGAATTTCTAATAATTGCTATTATTCCAAAGCAACACAGTACCTTGGAATAGCCAATTCTAATCTCACTATTAAAATCAACTTAGCTTTATTGTAAAAAATGAAAATGCCTTTTGTGTATGGAATTCACCACTTTAAACAGTGAAATTCCACTCCTTACAGGATGGAGCAGAATCAGGTAAGTTGAATTTGTGACAATAGCTCTAATAATATAATATTCTAATAATATTCTTTCCAGCTATCATTTTGATATTCTGTGTGTCTGGTGAGCTGGCAGAGCCCAACCACACAGCCTCAGCAAGCCCAACACTGCCCTATGGCACTTCTCTGCCTCCCTTGTTTTACATAGCTGCAGCCCTTTGGTGGTACAATTGAGTAATCTATGTTGTTTTGAAACTGACATTTAACGAACTTCTCTGAAAACCTTTCCTATTGCTTCATTTTTTTTTAAAAAAATCTCTGTTTCTTTAACTATCACACTCTCATTGTGAGATAAAAGGCAAAAACACCCAATAGCAAGAACTAAAAGAGACGCTTTGCCAAGTGGCTCGTGGGTTTGGTTGCTGCTGCTCTTAGAGGGGTTGCATGGAGACGCTGTAACCTGATCATCAGAAGTCGCAATCTAGGTCACAGTTCCGCAGCTGCTGCTGGCATTAAGATATTGATTCTCAACTTGTATGGCCCTTTGATGTCGCCTAGTACATTGATGCGGAGAAAGGAAATGCACTGACAGCTTTGGCCAGGCACACAATGCAAGGTGTGCTTCTTTGTCGTAAAGATGTGCGGAAATGGAATTGACTCTGCTAGCATTTAAAACAGACTGTCTTTCCACCCACGCTTATATTTACTTTAACTTAATGTTACGATTCTATGAACAGTAAGATTTTTTTCCACAGTGTTTACAAATGGCCCCAGAGGCAGTGTATGTTTCTTTTCTTATTTTCTAACATATTTAACTCAGTTGGCATTTGGCTTCTAGAGTCATATTTGCAGCGACTAGAACATGATTGTTGAGGCTGCATTAGCCCATTCTTGGTGAGAAATGTAATTTTCCATCATCTTCTACAAACTAAGGTTTCTTGCTCTCCCTTTACCAGCATTTGCATGGCGAGGTTTACTTCCAGACAATGCAACCATTTCCTTTAAGGGCGATCAAGGTACAAGGAGATGAGGAAACTAGAAACGAGAGCAGCGTGTGAGACGAGCCACTGCTCTCCTTTCTCCTGAGCTGGAACCCATTGCTGATGAAGTATATTAGGAGTTTTTCTTTATTTATGTTGAAAAGGTGTCTCTTATTACACCTAGCATAAACTTTACATCCAACCATAGTTTACGTCGTACTGTTGGGACTGACTTCATGTTACTGTTATTCAACGGTACAGTGTGATGTTTTTCATAAGAAATTTGCATTTATATCAAATTAAGTTTTCATGTTGTATATCCTTTATTTTTCTTTGGTCAGCAAATGTAATTTATTAGTGTATATGGCTTTTCTTTTAACCAATTTTTAAAAATAAGTAAAATTATTTATTTATTTTATATCCTGGCCACAGTTTCCCCTTTCATCTCTCCTCCAAGTGCTTCCCTCTCTCACAACCTCCCTCTGTTCCCATGAGTATCTAAAAACATTACATGTCAACTTGCAGAAAGACAAAGCGCCTCCCCATGTATTGAGGCTGGACCAGCCAACCCAGGAATGAGGAGTAGAGTCCAAAAAGCCAGTAAAATAGTCTGAGACAACCTGTATTCCCACTGTAAGGCGTCCCCAGTAAGTTAAGTATGACCTAATTGTAACCCTAACCCTAACCCAAACCCTAATCCTCAACCCTTTTAAAATAATCTTGAAGAATGGAAAATTTACAAGTTATATCGTTCCATTTAGGAATTAATTTAAATCCACCGTGGTGGCACACGCTTTGCCCAGCACTTGAGAGGCAGAGTCAGGTGGATCTTAGTGAATTCAAGGTTAGCCTGGTCTATAAAGAGAGTTTCAGGATGACCAATGCTACACAGAGAAAACCTGGCTATAAACCCCTCCCTGCAAAAATAACCCGCAAAAATCCCTCCCAAATTAATTTAATGTGCATCCTTTCCCAAATAACTGTGTAAAACTTATGCTCTGCTGAAGGGTACTCGA